ACCGTCTGCGTCTTGCTGCTGGTCAGCCCTCCGGTGTCAGTCACCGCCAACGTCACCGTGTAGCTGCCCGCTGCGCTGTAGGTCTTGGTGACCGACACCCCGCTGGCGCTCGTGCCGTCACCGAAGGTCCATGCATAGCTCGCAATGGGACCTTCCGCGTCAGTGCTGCCCGCGCCGGAGAAGCTCAGGTTGGCACCCACTTGGCCACTGGTCGGCCCGCTGATGTTGGCCACCGGTGGCTGGTTCGTCGCCGCCGTGATCACCACCGTCTGCGTCTTGCTGTTGGTCAGACCTCCGGCATCGGTCACCGTCAGGGTCACCGTATAGCTGCCGGCTGCGCTGTAGCTCTTCGTGGCCGACACGCCGCTTGCGCTCGTGCCGTCCCCGAAGGTCCATGCATAGCTGGCGATGGGCGCCTTCCGCGTCGGTGCTGCCTGCGCCCGAGAAGCTCAGGCTCGCGCCCGCCTGACCGCTGCTCGGGCCGCTGATGTTGGCCACCGGTGGCTGGTTGTCCGTGCTCCCCGGCGTCCAAGCCTCCACCTCGGTGATACGCGAAAGGCCGTAAGCCGAACTGTTCACCAGCACGCGGATGCGCTGTGTCACGATGGGTGTGAAGACAAACTGGCGCCACACCTTGTTGTTGTTAATGACGCTGCCGCCCGGCACATCTACCCAACCGGTGCCATTCCAGTACTGAACCTGGAAGTGCGTGATGCCGTAACTGCTGAAGGTCATCGCCAGCGTCGGCACTGAGGGCGAGTAGGCGTTGTCCTGCAGCGTGAACACATCGATCTCGCTGATCGTCTGCACCCCGTTGAAGTCGATCTGCACCCAGTCCGGGTAGACGCCCGAGGTGGCATCCGCCCACGCACCACCAGCCCCCCAGTTCAGCCCCAGCCGGTCGCCGTTGATGACCGCACTGGCGGGGTATCTCGAGTCGAATGCGCTGGATGCCGTGGCGACACCACCGTTGGCGGCTGCAGCGACATTGACCGCCTGGCCTGACGTCGTCGCCGTGATCACCACCGTCTGCGTCTTGCTGTTGGTCAGGCCTGCCGCGTCGGTCACCGTCAACGTCACCGTGTAGCTGCCCGCTGCGCTGTAGGTCTTGGTGACCGACACCCCGCTGGCGCTCGTGCCGTCACCGAAGGTCCATGCATAGCTCGCAATGGGACCTTCCGCGTCAGTGCTGCCCGCGCCGGAGAAGCTCAGGTTGGCACCCACTTGGCCACTGGTCGGCCCGCTGATGTTGGCCACCGGCGGCTGGTTCGTCGCCGCCGTGATCACCACCGTCTGCGTCTTGCTGTTGGTCAGACCTCCGGCATCGGTCACCGTCAGGGTCACCGTATAGCTGCCGGCTGCGCTGTAGCTCTTCGTGGCCGACACGCCGCTTGCGCTCGTGCCGTCCCCGAACGTCCATGCATAGCTCGCGATGGGGCCTTCCGCATCTGTACTACCGGCACCGGAGAAGCTCAGGTTCGCGCCCACTTGCCCACTGGCCGGGCCGCTGATGTTGGCCACCGGCGCCTGGTTGCTCATGCTTCCCGGCGTCCAGGCCTCCACCTCGGCGATGCGCGAGAGGCCGTAGGCCGAGCTGTTCACCAGCACGCGGATGCGCTGCGTCGTGATGGGCGCGAAGACGAGCTGCCGCCAGACCTTGTTGTTGTTGATGACATTGCCGCCCGGCACATCCACCCATCCGGCGCCATTCCAGTACTGGACCTGGAAGTGCGTGATGCCGTAGCTGCTGAACGTCATTGCCAGCGTCGGCACTGAGGGCGAGTAGGCGTTGTCCTGCAGCGTGAACACGTCGATTTCGCTGATCGTCTGCGCGCCGTTGAAGTCGATCTGCACCCAGTCCGGGTAGGTGCCCGAGGTGGCATCTGCCCA